AGAACTAAAGAAAAATTTAAAGCCCTGACTTAACAATATTGAAGGTTTCTATTGACAAAATTTTGAATGATGCAAAAAACATCAAAAGAAGATACAAGGACTACACAGAGTCCTTGTACCAAAAATAAATGGTCACTGTTCAACCATCTCAAGAGGTTGCATATGGTAAGAGCCAATGATACTGAAGGAAGCAGTCCAAGGTGCACGACAGGCATTGGCAAAGAACAAGGCTCTGGGAATTGATGGACTACACATTGAAATCATTCAACAAACTGATGCAGTACTGGCGGCACTCACTCATCTATGCCAAGACATTTGGAAGACAGCTGCCCAGCCAACTGATTGGAAGAGATCCATATTTGTGTGACACAACAGAATGCAGAAACCATCCGACAATAGCATTAATATCACATGCAAGAAAATTTTTTCTAAAGATAATTCAAAATTGCTGCAGCAATACATTGACAGGGAGCTGCCAGAGATTTAGGCCAGATTCAGAGGGACATGGAAAGAGGAATATCATTGCTGATGTAAGATGGATCTTGGCTGAAAGCAGAGAATACCAGAAATATGGTTACCTATGCTTTATTGACTACACAAAGTCTATCGATTGTGTTAATCTTGAAAAGCTATGAGCAGTATTTTGGAGAATGAGTACTCCAGAGCACTTAACTGTGCTCATGAGGAACCTGTACATAGACCAAGAGACAGAAGTTCAAACAGAACAAGGGGACACTGATTAGTTTAAAATCAGGAAAGATATGCATCGGGGTTGTATTCTTTCACCATACTTATTAAATCTGTATGGTGAACAAATAATCCGAGAAGCTGGATTGTATGAAAAAGAACGTGGCATCAGGATTGGAGGGAGACTCATTAACACTACCCTGTGATATGCAAATAACACAACCTTGCTTACTGAAAGTGAAGAGGACTTAAAATACTGATGATGACCAAAGACCACAGTCTTCGGTATAGGTTGCATCTCAATGTAAAGTAAGTAAAAATCCTCACCAATGGACCAATAAATAACATCATGATAAATGGAGAAAAAATTGAGTTGTCAAAGACTTTAACTCAGATCAATGTTCATAGAAGCAACAGTGAAGAAATCAAATGACTTATTGCATTAGGCAAATCTGCTGCACAAGATCTTTTTATTCAAGAACAAAGATGTCAGTTTGAGGACTAAAGTGTGCCAGACACAAACTGTGGTATTTTCAGTAACCTCATATGCATGTGAAAGTTGGACAATTAATATAGGAGACCATAGATGAATTGAAGTCCTGATGTGATGTTGTAGGTTAATGCACCAGCCGTTTGAACTGTGAGGTTGCCAGTTCAAACTCACCAGTTGCTCCTCAGAAACCCTATGCAGGGTCTCTATGGGTCGGAAGCTACTTGATGGCACTTCACAACAAACAACAAATAGAAGAATTGATGTATTTGAGTTATGGTGTTGGAAAGGAATATTGAAAGTACCATGGACTGCCCAAAGAACAAACAAATCTGTGTTGGAAGAGTGCCTTTAGAAACCAGGATGGCCAGACTTCATCTCTCGTACTTCAGGCATATCTTCAGGAGGGACCAGTCATTCAAAAAGGACATCATGCTTGGTAAACTGTAGGATCAGCAAAAATAAAAAAGGAAAACCACCAAAGAAATGGATTGGCACAGTGGCAGCAGCAATGAGTTCAAGCAAAGTAATGATGGTGAGATTGGTACAGGGCTGGGCAATGTTTTATTGTGTTGTGCATAGGGTAGTTATGGATCAATATTGACGGTATGTAACAACAATAGTCATTGAATCTCAACATCAAGTCTATTTTCTAGAAATTATTATTTATTTTAATAAATGAAGAAGTAAACTCAAGATGGATCTTGGCTGAAAGCAGAGAGCAGCAACTACCAGAAAGACGTTTA